ATAGCGTGCACCTTTAGGAAGTGATTGCAAAACATTCCTATGGTTATAACCATCTTGTAATTAGTTTATAAAACATCCCAGGCCTGTATTTTTTAAAATATTAACTTTTACATTTGAGATGATTATACATCCACATGTTATCATAAGAAATGACAGAGAGATTCCTTGTCCACTTTTGCCACTTTGATCTAGTTTGCCTCAGTAGTAACATTTTGCAAGACTATATAACTTCTGCCATATTTATGAATAAAATTCTACTAATAGACTCCATCTGGAATACTCTTGCAAGTCAGATAAATCAAAACAAGTGCAGAGGCCTACAGATAGTTCAAATCAGTGGAGCTGAAATGAAACTGGGAACAATGGTGCTGCAATAGGCTAATCAACTACAAATCTAGGTCTTTATGAATTTTAAAAGTAACTTTCAAAACATTAATTATATGACATGTATATAGTGTATATTGACATACTTTCAAATTATAAAATATTAGAAATATGGGGACTTCACACTTAGGCTACTTGGTAAACAGCAAGTGGTAAAGAGTTTAGACTATGAAGTCAGAGTGGGGAATTCCCCACTCGGACCTATCCCCTTTCCTCCAACCCCTCCACTAATCTGTAGCCATGGAACCTTCAGCAAATTGACTTTCCAAGTTTATTTCATCTTCTTTAATGTGAGGATAATAATGAAACCTACCTCATAGGATTCTTATGAGAATAACATATGAAAATGCATGCAATGATTTCTGATACAAGCCAGGAGGTCATCTAATTTTGTCATTCATTTAAAAGCTATTTAATGAGGTGTTTCTAAACATCAGCACTACTGACTTTTGAGATCAGATAATTCCTCCCTGGGGGCTGGGGCTAGTCTTATGCATTGTGGGATAGTTAGCAGAATCTCTAGCCAGTACTTACTAGAAGTAGCCAATAGTGCCCACTCCTCAGTAGTGACAAATACTGTCTCCAGATATTGTAGAATGTCTCCAAAGGAGAGGGAAAAACAATAACAATAGTAATAACAAACCATAAACCCCCATTGAAACCATCATTTTAAAGGAACCAACTTAGGACAAACAAATGAAGTTCTATTTTCCACAGTAGTGGCTATTTTTTAGTAAAATAACAAGTGGTGCATAGTGAAAATGCAGAAAGATCCAAAAAGGGTTTGAAATCACATAAACACACACACACACACACAAAAAAAAAACAGTCCATAAAGCTTCTAAAATATATTTGGGGATTCTGTATACTCCTGAGTTTGGAGACTCTGTTCTTACTGACTTTCAAAGTCTCACTAGGGCAGCCCACCAAAAGGATGAAAAACCAAGGATTGGATAATCGGCCCCACCCTAGAAGGATACTTGAGATGCTTTTCTGTTCTAGAAATCCAATTATAAAGTTTTCTGCAACAAGAATATATTTCATGTTATCCCTAGTATGACACTGTGTTCTGGAGTGTGTCTGAACCTTCTTGCATGTCAGAATCACCAAGGGAGCTGCCAACAGATATTCTCAGCCCTCAGATCTCCACTTTAGTTTTATTTTTATTCTCCACTTTAGAAAGTAAAAGTAAAGTTCATTTCTAATTATTAATTTATAAATTATTTAATAGTTATTATTAATAATTTCACTTTTAACAAAGTAAAAATTAAAGTACGTTCCCAATTAATTGGAAACTACTGGTCAAGTAGGAAGTTTCTTGAAATACGTGAGAGGTTGGTCAAGTTTTCTTTGACTCTGCCCCACTTCAAAGTCTGCATTAGGATGGGACCTACAGATTATACAGAACTCTTTATTAGAATAATTATAGACTGCAAATGGATACACTATATTAGTAGTATCTTAACTAAATGAAAAATTCAATCTGAAAATCAAAATTTTAGCCAAAAGGAATTAGAAACTACTATAAAACTATTGCTTCTAGTAATAGGTCTCAAGTCATTGCTGTTGACAGTTTTTGCTAAACCTTCATACCATCAATTATCCTTGGTGAGACAGAATAAGAGTTATGCTTAGTCATGTGGAATGTCAAACAGTCCTTCTGCATACTTTGAAAATAGCAGGCAGTTAATATGGCAATCCTCATTCCATTTTCCATTCAATGACACCAGAATAGATGCTTACTAATTCCATGGAAGAAACATTTATTTTAGCTATAAGAGGCTATTGATCTAGTTGGAATAATTTTTCAGCTTATTATGTAGGTTTCCGTCTCAGTCAGTTTAAGTTGCTATAACAAACTACCATAGACTGGGTAGCTTATACATAGGAGAAATTTACTTTTTACATTTCTGGAGGCTGGAAGTCTGAGGTCAGTATGCCAGCATGGTCAAGTTCTGCTGAGGATCCTCTCTCAGGTTGCAGATGGCTGACTTCTTATTGTATTCTCACATGTCAGAAAGAGAGCAAGCTAGCTTTCTGGACTCTTTATGATGGCACTGATCCCATTTATGAAGGCTCCATTCTCATGACCTAATTACAACCCCAAGGCCCTACATCTAAGTACCATCACACTAGGGATTAGATTTCAACATATGAATTTTGTGGGGACACACAGATTCAGCCTAGTAGTTTCTATCTCACAGTATGTGGTTTGCAACCTCTTGACTAGTGGATCCCAATACTCAGGAGTGTTTATGAAATATGAAGAATCCAGGACTTCTACCTCTGACTGTTAATGAAGCCTGAGAATCTCCACAATCAACAAAAAGCTCTTCCAACATAATGGCTAAGAAGGTTCTAGAACATTGCTGAAAACACAAGGTCCCTATGGGGTGCCATGAAGAGAATTATTTTTAAGTTACTATAATATATTACAGACTTATGATCATTTGCGCTAATATTATATGAACACCTATTGGCAGGGACTTACCCATCAAAATCCCCACAGTTTCAAGGTATTAAAAAAGAATCACTCAAAATAATCTGTTTAGAGACCCCCAAGTTAGAAACAGCAGATCTGAGAACATGTTTCTTCCTGCTGAAACACACATGGATTAGAAAATGTATGGACTTCCTATAAGAATGCACACATTTTAGAAACCAGTGAGACAAAACCATCCCATATTTTCAATCATGAAAGTATCTTACAAATGCCTGTCACTTTGACAATGTCTCTGCCAAATGACATATGCCTTAGATCTCTGAAAACAACAAGTTTTCTAGATGTTTCTAGAGTCTAGTGCTCTAAGATTCTCTTAGAAGGGCTCTGAGATAACTCAAATTTATCTACATTTTGGAAAATCCAGCATCCAAATCACAAGCCTCTTCTGTAAGAAGCCTTTGCCCATTTCTGACATTTGATACTTAACATGAACTGTATGGCTGAGTCTCCTTCATGCTAGCAACCTCACCACAAACCGGTATTTATTTTCATTTTAGAAAGAGTGTTAATAAGCTTTTAACATAATGTCCAGCCAGAATGAGAAAATGCAACACTATTATTGATATTTAGAAATAAAAGTCATGATTTAAAAAAATATATACATATACACATATATACATATACACATATATACATATATACATATACATATATACATATACATATACACATATATACATATACATATATATACATATATACATATATATCTCCAACATGCAACAGATATTGAACCCTCTTTGCTAGACACTACTATAGCTAATCAAAAATGTCAGATAATTCTGAAGTTAATGAGGATCTGGCTTGAGACTTCTTTATGTGTTTTGTATGCTATTTGTTTGGAGAAGGTAGAATATGAGGTTGTGGGAGAGAAAAAGGACATTGTCAAATACCCTAACTTAAACCCCTGATCAGGGCCTCACCCAATTTTTGCATTTCATCCAAACATAGTGGCCAACAGAGCAATAGCATTCACAATACAACAAGGACAGCCAACTTCCCAACAATGTGTATCCAGGTAATTGACCATTTGTAGTAATGTCATACTAGGAGGCCTTCCTTAGTGTCCTTACTATAACTAGTATTATTTCAAAAGTCACCTTAAAGATTTAATAAAACATACATAAAGTGCTTAAATAGTTCTTAGATCATAAAAAGGTTTAAATAAAAATAGTAGCTACTCTTGATTGTTCCTATTAGCCACTATTATTAATAATATACATCTCAACACTGGAGATGACTGTTTGGCCTGCTTAGACCACCTGGGACTGCTTTAAACAGTAGTGTCTTAAATGTATTATTGCTAATGGTATTGTAGTAGATTACCTTTGTAGATCTCTTCCTTCAACTCTTGGAGATTAAGGATGTCTTATAAACAAGCTTACCTAAGTCTATTTCTACTATCTATCCAGAAAGCAGTCTGCAAGACTCTGACCCATTTGTTTTAGAAAACACAAGCTAGGCTCTTATTTCTACTCATATAAATTAGTGCTTCTTTCTGCTCTAAGTCTTTCTGGGAGCATTAATTTGTCAACCAATATATCACCCTCAGGATTAAAACTACAATAACAGAAATACACTAACAGACTTAATTTTGAGACTTTTTGACACATAAATTAGTGCAAAAAATATTGAGACAGAACAAGAATAAAGGATCCAAATGAGTGAATAGTAGAGCACTTATCTCCACTTCTCCTGTCTTGATGGGTCATCTTATAAGCATTGAACAAGAAAAGAGGAAGTAGTGTTGAAACTCCCTCAAATATATCAGGAGTTCAAAGACAGACAGCATAGAGCATCTAGGTTCAGTGATATAAAATAACACACCACTCCTTTGTCATAAGAGACCACATAAGAAAACCCAGATGAGAAGGTATATGGGTGATTTCAACTGACTGACACCCATTTAAAAGTCTGACTTTTGGTCTGAGCCAGAGAGATCTATGTTACAGCAGATCTTAATTCCTTCCGTTTCCTCTCAGCACCTTCTGGGCAACACTTGGGCTCTCATGTATCACCATTTCTTTCAGGGGCTCAGGTGAAAGATGAAGCAGCAAGAGGATAAACTATCTTGAGAGTATGATCTGGGACATCCCCAAACCCTGCCTCTTACCTGCAGAATCTGCCTCATCGGCAGGCACACTTTGGGTTGTCACGGGGGCTGGCTCCTTGATTCCATGCACCTGGGGAGCTTCTTCCTGGTTTGTCAAAAATGCAGAACACAGATCAGATTCGAGAGCTTGGAGCTTCAGCAAGGAATTCTGCCAGCAAAAGCAGAACATCAGGCCAGCTAAGTAGATGCCTAACACACAACGGTGGGTCTGCAGCTCCTGCAGGCACCTTTCTCCAGTGCCTGGCAGGAGGGTATCGTGGAATAGCTGCTTCAGAAACAGAGCTGGTTGTGCCTCAATCAGATGCGCATTATTCCACATGCAGCCTCAGTTCCTGCCTCATTTAAATCCTAATGTATATGGATTATCAGTGACCCATGGGACTGGCGATTGATTTCGTCAGCAAACGACGCTGCATCTGGAGAACCAATCTCAGAAGGTATCTGCTTCCTGAGCGCTGAGCCTTTACGCTTTGCAAGTGTTTCATTCATTGTGCTGACATCAGGAGTCGGTGACATTAGGCCCCTCCCAGGCTACCATTCATAAAAGCCATCGTCCCTCCAATGCAAAGACTGCAGCAAACCGCAGTGCACAAAGAGTTACTGCTGCAGAGGCTCCCTGGCATCTGGGAGGGGCTTCAGGCTCCCTCATCCACACTGTGGCTGTGTGTGCATCTTCTAAAGTTACTTCTCTCACATGGGATGGCTGCAGCTGTCTTGTATCAAGAACAGGGTGAGGGAGACAATCTTGGTCCCTCAGTTTAACCTAATCACAGAGGGAGAAGCAATTTATCTTTCTTAGCCCCCAGTACAATCTCATGCCCACTCCTTTCATTTCTCATTTTAAATTTCTCCCATGTTCTTACTAAGAACAAGTCATACAGACTGACGCACATATCCTGCCATGATGCAGATGCTCAGAAAACTAATTGCCCTAATGAGGTGAAAGTGAGTCATGCCCGAGGCTCTGGCTGAGTGCTGCTCCTTGACAATGGGCAAGCCCTGCGGGTCTCAGGAACTCTTCCACCCACCTGGTTCCAGTTCCAGCAAGAACAGCCATAGAGAGCAAAGAAAATGATCCTTTTCCTTCTATAACCTCCCAATATACACATGCTCCTACTCACATACTACCTTCCACACAGCCAAGCACCCTCCTCCACGGCTCTACTCCATACCTCATAGACGCCCTTATCCCTATCCCTCATCCATATATCCTATTCCACACACACACACGTACACCCCCCTTCATACCCAACCCACTCTCTCTACTCCACAAACACCCTAACCCACAAATGGCCCCCTTCTTCTGCCTCACGCACTCCTCATACCCTACCCCATAAACACCCTCACACGCAACTGTCACTCATACCATAGTCTACACACATAAAACACCTCCCCACATTCATACCCTACCTACCATACACTCACATACCAACCCCATACTCTTCACCCTGTGACAAATATACACCCCATTCCTGATTGCCCCACATACCTACCTCTCCCTCATAATACCCAGTACCTCACACCAACACCTATTACTTCATATCTTATTCCAGAAACATATACCCCCATACCCCACACATATTCTCATACTTGGTCTCACACCAACACTACTACCTTCCATTCAATACCAACTCCCACACAGTCAGCCTTAACCCTTCTTTTGACATGAGTAGCTATCAGGCTATACCAGTGTTTTAAAATCTGTTCACCAAGCAATGTCTTAAATATTAGCTCCTCTGCCGCTTGGAAAGCAGTGAGCGCCTTCTCTGCCAGATATGGGGCAGGATCTGAAAAAGTTTTCTAGTGCTCAGAGGCTGAGAGAACACAGCTCAGATGAAGCACCTGCCTAAGACCAGACATTTTATGACTCCCTCCTCCTCCCTGAGAGTTTTCCCAGCAGCTGAGTGCAGGAGCAGGAGCTCCTGAGTGTTAACGGGAGGTACAGAATGAGCAAGGGCACGGAATTTCTGGAAAGATTTAGTAGTTAGTAACCAACCAGATGGCATGCAAAAGAATATCAGACAAATTTCCTACCGGAGGGCCTTGGAATTAGAGTGACCTCTCAAAAAGAGCAAAACTGCTCTGAAAATTTAGAAATAATGCCATGGGAATGTAAAATGGTGCTGTCACTATGGAAAAAGTATGGTGGGCCTGAAAATATTACAACTAGAATTACCATATAATTCAGCAATTCCATCACTGTGTATATACCAAAAACAATTGAAAGCAGGGACTTGGACAGTTATTTGTATACCTATGTTCAAAGCATTTTAACAGCCAATAGGAATATTATAGACTAAATGTCTCTCTCCAAAATTTATAAGCTGAAGCTCTAACCTCCAATATGATTGTATTTGAAGACAGGACCTTTAAACAGGTAATTACCTTTAAACCTAATCCAATATAACTAGTGTCCTCACAAGAAGAGGAAAAGACACCAGGGATGCTCCCACAGAGAGAAGGCCACATGAGGACCCTGTCAGATAGCAAGTATCTATAAGCTAAGGACAGATGTCTTAGGAGAAACCAACACTGCTAACACTCTGATCTTGAAATTCCAGCCTTCAGAACTGTGAAAAAATAAGTTTCTGTTGTATAAGTCATCTCATTTATAATATTTTATTAAGGCAGCCCTCAAAAACTAATACAAAGAGGAAGCAACTCAAAATGTCCATGGAAAGGTAAACGGATAAACAAAATGTGGCATATACTTGCAATGGAACATCATTCAGTATTAAAAAGAAAATTCTGACACATAGAAAAACTCTGAAGACATTATGTTAAGCAAAATAAGCCCAGTCACCAAAGGATGAATACTGTATAATTCCACTTACGTAAGGTCCTTACAATAGTGAAGTTCATGAGACAGAAAGTAGAATAGTGGTTGCCCAGGGCTGGCAGTGAGGGAGATGGGGAGTTATTTTTTAATGGGCACAGAGCTTCAGTTGTATGCAATGAAGAGAGATCTGGGGATGAATGGTGAAGATGGTTGCCATCAATATAACCCTACTAAAAACATACACTTAAAAGTGATTAAAATGTCAAGTTTTATATTATATATATTTTATAGCATTAAAAAATGAAAGATAAAAGGGGATAGACCTTTTACCTATAATTCTTTAAAAAATAAAGTTATGGTACCAGCAGCCTGGCTCAAACTCATATGTGCTGTTTATATTCCTGCAAAGTAAAAGAGGGCACAGATTTCAGGTTCCTAAAGAAGTAGAAGGGACATCAACTCTGCTGTGTACTGTGGCTGACTTTAGGCAAGCATCCTGGCTATTCCAAGCCCCAGTTTTTCATTTGTAATAAGAGGCAAAGATAACAGTCATGATGGCATTTGCTATGAGGGCTGCTCAAGAACATAATGCGGGAAGGCAGGCACTTTGCAGAGCCACCAGCATGAGGCCCATCCTCCAGCACTGGACTTCGTGATGAGTATGAGCATCTCCAAACCCTAGGTGTCAATGGGAAAGCCCTGACCGTATAGTAAGGACATACTCCACACTGTCTCTGAAGCCTCCACCTGTTGCTCCACCTCTTAGGTCTCACTTCTGTACCTGCACAGCAAGGACCTCAGGATAGATGACTTGTAAGTCTCCTTCCAACTTGAAGGGAGAGAAAAAGCAATGTACTGAGGATTGAGACCCAGAATCTGGAACCAATGGGTACTTAGACTACTTAATGGAACAAAGAGTTCATGCAACATGAACATTAAAAAAAAAAATCTCATTGCATACAAGTACATTATACTTCATATTCAGAAACTTCTGAATCCCCTTAGAGACAGAGGTGTAATTCTGTGACCCCATAATGATTAGAAGTATGAACCAGTTGCTCTCTTCCATCTCCCTCTGCCATTTTCTCCTTCACTTATACTCATCTGAATAGGATTTTGAGTGCCACAGATCTATTTGCATGGCTGGTTTGCTTAAAGGAATGGGAAGAGAAAAGAACTGGCAAATGGAACAGGAGAGAGAAGATGAAGGTCTCAAGAGTCAAGAAGATCTTCAAGTAGAAGGGAACACATTATTGCTATAAAGGACAAGAAGACAGAATGGAAGAAACTCTGCAGATCATCGGCTCTCACATCCCAACCCTGTACTGTCCCATGACCTGATGACAACCAGCCTTTTGGCATTACAGGATACTCTTATGTCATCCTGAACAGAAGGTGGGAACTGGGACACCCCATATGGGTAAGGTCCACGACAGGGTACCTTTCTTGGTGACCAGGTAACCCAAGGACGGGGGGAGGGCAGACTTACCTAGGAAGAGTCTATAGCAACGTTGCATGCATGTCTTTCCTATGGACAACAGGAGACTTCTAGCCTGTAGTATCAGGACTGAGCCCCATAGAGTCACACCAAGAAGGTTTATGGGCAGCTCTCACCACACAGGCAGGGGTCATGTCCCTCTGGCAGACATGGTGCTACTATGCAGTGCTCATGCTAAGGCAGCTTTCAGTGCACAAAGAGCCTTACTAGGCTCCAGAGTATGAAATGAGCATCAGCCCCTTCCTTATGGGGCCTCTAGTCCAGTGTAAAAATAAGTGAGCAAATGAGTAACAATGACATTTATCATTTTTTAGGGCTATGCAGGAAAGAAATGGTGAGCCCATAAAGAGTGTCAAAACTGCCATTTCACTAATCTGACATGCCTAACCTGTGACCTTTAATACAAGAATGTGCTTTGCCTTCTATAGAAGCATGATGAAGTACCCTACCTCACTTGTGATTCAAGTGCTACCTCAGTCCATCCCTTCTCGCCTGGGACTTCTATTCCCTGTGAGACTAACTGCCCCAGCCAATCATTCAGAGCCAGCCTGCTAATGCTCTTCCAGGTTTATATCCAAAGTCTCCATGGATGGATACCTAGAATCTTTAGAAAAAATGAGTAAGGGTTCATGGATTCAATAAAGAATGATGACTGTCTCCGCCTCTTAACTGTCCCATCTGGGTAACAAAAAATGAGAGAGAAGTCCTTGAAACCTACGTGTGGTTTTATAAAAGCTAATTTTTCTCTTTTACATAATGGAGAATATGCTTCTTGTTTTAGAAAATACTCATTTTCTCTTCTCTACAA